CACAAATAGCAAACAAAATTTAAAACAATGCAAAACAAAAACCAGAGCAAAACCAAACTTACAAAAAGCAAAGCAAATAAACAACTCACACCAAAGCAAAACAAAAACTGAAGCAAAGCAAATATATAAATTGCAACAAAACTTAAAGTAAAAACAAAAATAAAAAACAAAGCACAAAATAGAGCACAAAATCCACAACTAATCAAAGAGCAAAGCACATTAAATCAAAGTAAAAAAGGCATAATAAAACAAAAGACAAAGGAGATTGAAAACAGATAAAGAAAGGGTGCTCAATCCTATCTGTAAGTTTCTAGCACCCGTAAAGATGTTGATTACCTGGTTGAGGAGTCTTTAATTAATGATGGAGCTAAACACTGCAGGACATTGGCCACCCATGAGCAGGACTGGGCACCTCTGGTTTAAAATAAACCACTGTGAGCAACAGCACATCAGCCTTGTTCACACTGACAGCGCTTGAATCGCTGGAGGTTGCCGAGCCTCTCTGCTCAACTTTGTCACGTCGCCAACAGTTGCTGTCACTCGGGTCATCAGAAATTGCCAAGTCTCTTTGAAAATGAACAATGTCAGGTCACTTTGTTGCTACAAATTGCTGTCAGTGTGAATGCGTCAAAAACAGCCTGTTACTTCCAGCAGGCTTGACTAGTCAAGGGAAAAATAAGAAGAAAATCAATTTAGTTTGGGATTTTCTCCACTAAATGAATCCAGTTCAGCAACACAAATTCAGCGCCTCTCTCAAAAGTCACATCTGACATTCATTATACATTTAAGTCCGTCTCTGAATTTGTGACCTCTTGGGCTTTGCATTCATTCTTAATTTGCCTTTCTTCTCTCCAAATCAAATATGCAGCAAGACGAAGATTTCATCTGAGCGATCAAAGCTCAGTCCACTCGTCTAAATAATTTTTGTCATGTCTTTAAGATTCTACTTGGTCCCAATGAGCTCTTACAGATGCAGGATTTTGCAAGGAATGTGTTGCTTCAAAGGTTTATGTACAATTTTGCGATTGTTTCTCTTATTTCAATTCACATTCTTTTGGATTAAGTCTTTTTTAAATTTATGAAATATTTGATCAAGTATGTTTTTCAGATGACAGACTTTAGTGTATGGCAAGCATTTTAACAGTTAATATGCTGCTACGAGTGCTACTCATTTTTCTGATACTATCCCAGTTTAACAATTTTAAGGCTCTAAAAATGTGCCCGTTCCTATTAAAGCTATATAACATTACTTTTTAATGTTTTTAGAATGACGATGCATTAACATTATGTTTTAGTTATAATAATGTTGTTCAAAATGTTTTCATAACATTTCAGTCTCATGTTACAGAGCTAAGCATTACTGAGTACAGCCCTTTTTGAAAATCAATATTTGTATCCATTTCTCAGTGAATATAGGCAATGTATTTTGGTGCATTTAAACAAAAGGGAATTATTAAACAGATTTATTAAAATAATATTTTTGTCACAAACAAATTTAGAAATTGAAAAATAATACAATCAAATCAAGCAAAATATTGCAAAAAATTAAATTAAAAACACAACCTACAAAATTTCAACTAAATTTAAAATGTTTTGCTTCTCTTGATTATTCCTCACATATAAATTTGGGTGTGGTAATTTTGGGACCGTTATCGTAAGTTATTTTGTTAGATAAGCTCCAGATTTTGCTTGAGTACTGACTAATCTAATGTATCTGCACAAATATAATATTGTATAGCTAATAAAATATGAATTTAAAAGATAGATTTGTGAGGGGTGTACTTATATATGCTGAGCACTGCATATGAATGTTCTCAGAACATTATTTCTAAGGTTATTAGAATATTCCATCCACATTATGGAAATGTTCTGAGAGCGCTTTCATAATGCTGTCGCTAAATTATTAAAAAGTTATTACGAAGGGTTCTTAAAACATTCAAAATGTAGTATTTTAGACTATGCATTAATGTTATTTTTTGGTTATGAAACGTTACTCTAAATGTTTTCATAACATTTCAGTCTCAGGTTATATTCTTGTTCTATACAAAACACTTGTTTTAAATATTATTTAAAACATCGGTCACGCTTTATTTTGATGGTCCATTTGTTGACAAGTTATACTGTTGTTAAGTCACATTGCATCTACATGCCAACTAATTCCCAGTAGATTATAAGAAGACTGTTAGGTTGGGGTTAGGATTAGGGTTAGTGTAAGTTGACATGTACTTGTAAAGTTCCTTATAGTCAGTAAAATGTCTGTTAAAGGAGCAGTATCAACAGATATTAAGCAGACATTCTACTAATACTCAAATGGACCATCAAAATAAAGTGTTACCAAAACATCATTTACATTATATAAACATTTTAAGAACGTTTTTATCAATATTCCAAAAACATTATTTTAATAATGTTGTGTGTTAAAACTGAAGAAACATTATGGAATGTTCTAAGAATGTTAGCTGGGATTCTAAAGTACTAGGATGTATTTAATAGCTAGTGCTTATTCTGTAGTTACTTGTACCTTTTTAAAATATGCAACTTATTCGTTAGATATTGAACTCTTCTGTTTTATTATTAGTAATCTAGAGAGTTCAATTAAATATCTTACTAGTAAAAAAAAAAACTTGCTATAGTCAAAAATATAATATAATACATGTTACTAATTTGTATTGAATAGACACTGGCAGCTAATCGATAACTACTATTCAGTAATTTATTCTGGCAGGTAATGATATGTACTAGTGTTGAACAAGCACTGGCACATGAAGAATTGTCACAATTGGAATACATATTATTGAAAATAGAACAATGACAGATCCCTAAAAGCCAATGCCAAAAATGTTGAATTTCTAATAGAAAAGTGACTAGTCACTAATGAATAGTGTCTTTAATATTAAGGGCAAGTGCCCAATGAATTAATGCTAGTATGTAATAAATATGTAACAAATTAATCCATGATACACTAAAAATATTTATAAATTTAGTAGTTTTCCGTATTTTGTGATTCATGTTTTTTTTTTCTTCTATTTTTCCCTGTTTATTTATGCTTTTGAATTGCATTATGGGGCCTTAATCTACTTTTATAACAACATTTACTCTTAAAAAAAGTATATATTTTTTTACATTACATTATATTATTTTTACAGTACATTATATTATTTCAAACTACACTGTAAAAAATGCTGGGTTCCACACAATCAATTTGTGTTGGGACTAGGCATGGGCCGGTATACGATTCTGACGGTGTGACAAACTAGGGTAAAAATATCATGATTCCAAGATTTCATGTTGTGAATACTGCTCTTAAATAAGGTTTTTTTTTATGTCTGGGTAAAAAACAACAATGTTTTAGGTAAAAACAACAATTAAACATGGTATATATTTTTTAACATTTAAAACATTTTTAAACAATAAATGTCAGGCTAAATAATTTAAATAGGCAATGGACTTCTGCTGTCTTTATTAGCTACAAAAATACAGATTTTTTTTCAACTTGAAAAGACATTTTGGATATCTTTCTTTTCTTTAGATATAAAGTAAGCCTCTACACTGTTCAGCTCTACAGCATGCAGGATGTTGGTTTATAAGAGATTTGTTTATCAGATGTTTACTGAATCATAGGCTGACCAGTAACGTGCAATGTGGAGGTTCCTTTTCTACTGTTGCCCTAAAAAAAGTAAATTAACAAAACTTACAAATACCTTAGAAACAATATAATAGTAATTTGAACGGTTTTAAAAACTTGACTTTTCAAAACCACGGTAAACCCTTTAAACCAGTTATCGTTCCATGCCTAGTTAGGACAACATGAAGGATTTAAGTTATTTATTTATTTTTTTTTACAAATTTAAGTGGATTCAGCATAAAACAATGAAGTTGTCCCAAAGAAATCTCAATAATTGTGATGCTTAAGTTTATTTTAAAAAAAAATTTTTTTCACAAAAATGTCAATAAAAAGCACTTTTTTAAAATGTGAATTTGAATTTTTAACATTAAAAGTCAACAGAGCAGAGATCAAGGGCTCATAATACAATTCACAACCGTAAATAAACAGAAAACACTTGTAAACCACAAACTATGGAAACTTAAAGATTATTACAGTGTAGTTTCTAATGAATAAGTTCTAGTACAGGGGTCTCAAACTCGCGGCCCGCGGGCCATTTGTGGCCCTCAGTGCAATATTTTGTGGCCCGCGCCGACCGCTGTACACTGACAGAATCAGCGGAGCGGGAAGCGCTCTCTCTCCCCGCTTCGCTGATTCTATCCGTACACAGCGGTCACTGGCATTCCCCGCCCGCCGTGTTGTCGCGCGCGTTCTTATCAGCTGTGTTGACACGCGCGTACTCAAGAGCGGTGTTATTGCGCGCCTACTGAAGGGCGGGACCGAGGGTGTGTCGCGTCGCGGGGGCACTTTTGATCATTTTGGAAGGGCACTTTCGCAAGACTACAAAGGGCATGTGCTCTACACAGGTTGAGCCCTATGTGTGCACGTGCCTGCTCTGCATCTTAGATATATCATAGGTAGATACAGACTGTTACAGACTGATGTGACTGGAGTGGGGTGGGGGTGTTTTATTTATACATATATACACCTTTTTTTAGGTGAGGGAATGGAAGTTTTGAGTGAGTTCCCCCACTTTTTTCCCTAGGACTTCAATAAGTCAAAGTACAGGTCTAGACTTAATGATGATCATCTTCAAGCCATACTGAGGGTCTCAACTGCTTCCGCTCTAAAGCCAAATGTGGTTCAGAAGAAGCGCTGTCAAATCTCTGGCAGCAAGAAATAGGCAAAAGATGCCATGTTCAGAAGAACTGTTCATAATCTTCACTCAATGTTCTATTAATGTTCAGGACACTTCATGTTCAGAAGAAATAATTAAAACTGTTAATAATGACATTTGAGGACTTTTTTTTGTGAAATCCCTTATGCGGCCCAGCCTCACCCAGACTTTGCCTCCTGCGGCCCCCAGGTAAATTGAGTTTGAGACCCCTGTTCTAGTATCTTTCAAAATGGTACTAGTATCTAATGTTAAAATGGCTTGCCATAACGAGTGTCACTCACAAAACTCAGAGATCTAGGCTACTCATTTTTAAAGACATCTTGGACACGTCTGTGTTAACTGTGGACATGGCGACCATGTCATATTCGTTTTCACGCGTCGACACAATCTTGCAGAGTCGGAAGGCCCTCAGGTCACGCTGGAAGTTGCGGTTCAGAAAGCCGTAGAAGATGGGGTTAATGCAGACCGAGCACATCGCGGTCAGGTGACACAGAGAGAACAGAAGGTTGTGGGTACAGTTCATCGCCACTTCATGATTCCAGTCGATGACTGCATTAAACACGTTCAGCGGGAGCCAGCAAACTGCAAATGCCACCACAATGGAAAAGAGCATGATGTTTATCCGTTTAGACTCACTGCTACGGTATTTGTTTTCACGGATTCTTTCCATCATGTTGTTTCGCCGCTGCAGACGAGTGTATATCTGTGTGGGAGAGAAGAGGACAGACAAATCAAATCATTCATACATGCATTTAAGGGTGAACATCAGCATATACAGAATTCTCTCTTTCCTTGTATGTGTGTGTGTGTGGTTGAGTATAGCACAAGTAATGGTTCTTTTGTTGTTCTTTTGGGCGGTTAAGGTGCTACTTGATTTAGTTTTATTTAGCACCCTTTTAGGAGTGTATTCAAACAAAAGCTCAAACAAAATCCAGATTAAAATTCACAACAAAACAAACCAAAACCTAATACAAGTCATAAGACCAGGGTAACAGTAAAAAGGTCACTATGAGTCCTGGCTGGACCAGTTGACATTTCTGTATGGAGTTTGCATGTTCTCCCCGTTTATGTGTGGTTTTCTCCGGTTTCCCCCACAGTCCAAAGAAGTGAATTGGATGAGCTAAGTTGGCCTTTGTGTATATGTGAGAGTGTATGTGTGTTTCACAGTACTGGTAAAACCTATGTCAGAATAAATAAGGGACTAGAAAAATGAATGAATGACTGAATGATTGTAAGAAAGACATACAAACAAACTTTTAAACAAAGGAAAGCCGGAAACGAGCCATTAAACAAAACTTAGCGAAGCAAAAATACCAATAAAGCAAAAGCAAAAACACAACAAAGAATAACAAAAACAAAAAGAAAAGCAAAAAAAAAAAAAAACAGAAACTTATTCAAAGGAAAGCAAAATTCTCAAAAAAAAATTATTTAGAAACAAACTTATTTTATGAAACTTAAACAAACATATTTAGAAATTGAAAGATAATACTATTAAATTCAAGCAAAATATTGAAAAAAAAATTATAAAACAAAAATACAACCTACAATTTTTTAAAAACAAAACAAAAATAAAATGAGAACAAAGCAAAAAAATAAAAATAAACAAATTAATAAAAATAACAACTAAAGAGTAGAACAAAGGAAAGTAAAAATTGCAGCACAATAAAACAAGGTTAAAACATTTTAGGCAATTTATATCATTTGTATATCTGTGTGGATGAACAGAAGAAAGATTAACAATTATTTATACATGTCTTAATTAAGGGTGAACACAATTATTTCTGTAGACATTTAGAAAAATATGATACGCCATGTCCATCAGCATGCATTCATGAGACTTTTTCTCTTTTATATATTTTTGTATATCTAAATTAAGACAAGGCAAGGCAGGTTTATTGATATAGTACGTTTCATACACAATGGCAATTCAAAGTGCTTTACAAAAACAAAAATAAAAAAGACAAGTATAAGAAAATTAAAACAAATAGTAAAAATGATTAAAACAGATTAAAATGTGTTAAAACAGGTTATAAAAGACTGAAAAAGAAAAGAGAGACATAATAGTGTGATCTGTCGGACATAGCACAGTGCTCATTCAGTAAAGGCACAGTTAAACAGGTTACTTTATTTTTTAAATAAAAAATGGGATTAAACAGGTTTCACTATTAACTATGTAATAATAATAATTATTGGTAATTATTATAATTATAATAATAATTGGCTTTTGAGACTTTTTTATATCTTACAATTGTATGCTTGTTTGCTGTATTTTTGACATTCTCTTCAGATATAGAGAAAAAAAAAACTGAATTTTGAGCTATAAACTCAAAAAAGAAAAAGTGGAGTATAAAAAATCCACAATTGCCATATAATAATTTGCAATATTTTTTACAAACACTATTATACTATTCACACTACTGACAAACGCTTTCCAAAACTTGCTCATCCACACTTAAATAAAAAAATAATAAAATAAAAAATCATCTTAATGATCATGCATAAATCCTATTAAAAGCTCAGCGAGAGATGATAGTGAGAGACTAAACATAATAAAGCTCTATCCCCTACTGACACAATTTTATTTTTTTTAAATAGTAAATGATTTACTTGTCCAGGTCACATTTCACTGCCATTGAGCTCTCGATTACCTTTTTGTGTTGATGACTGCAGATATGAGTAGATCGTTCGTTGCAGAAATATAATGCAAGTGTACAAAGTAACATGTACTGTATACCATCACTGTGAAAAGGTACAGCACATAGCAGGAACACAGCGGTATATTATTTACAGATACCACTGCTTTCACAGTCCACAGTACGGTGGACAAAAAGGTGTTTTCAAATGTATCAGCTCAGGAGAGTGTCTTCAAAAAGCTGTGCTTTCACAGAAAAAATACATGTCTCAGTGTGGACAAAAGGTCACAACAGAGAGAAAAAAAATGCTTTTTTGCAAAAAGCATTTTGTAATGTATCCACTCTACTGTAGACGTAGCCCATATATCAAACAATGTGTTGTGCTGGAAAATAAAAGATAAGACTTCCCTGTTCTCCAAAGCTCATATCAGAGTTAGGATTTTCTGTATTATTTTATTATATGTAATTTTATTATGTAAATTGTTCATGTTTTAAATATAAAAATAGTTTATCCTTGTCTCCGAATTGTTGTAGTTTTACCCCTTTATAAGAGACTCAGCAGAAAAAGTTACTGGGTGTTATTACAAGACTTTTATGAATTTAAAGAATATATTCTACAAAATATCTGTGAAGTTTTCTTATACAGTACAGTTCCTCACTTAATAACGAGTAACACTGTGTAATAACAACACAAGACATGACACCATGACATGCAATAAAAAGTATCTTTTCCATGTTTTTGTCCTAACTATTTGCGATGGCGACATACAAAATTTCTATTTTAGAAATGCTTTTTATTTCTTAATGTCAGCAGAACAACAGCCTATAGCAATGATCACCTCAGGTACATTATGTGCTTTATTTACAGCTAAATGCTCCCAATGTCAGTTTAAAAACCATTTTATGTGACATTTATATCCATACTGCTGAAAGCAGCAGCAGATAGTTCACCTCAGATCTTGAAAATAAAATAACAAAAACAAAATTGTCACCATGGTGATTTAGTGCAAACCAATGACTGTAAAAAATATGGACGACGCTGCAGCATCTTTTCCCATTGAACAATTTGAAGGCAAAATGCCTCGTGACGAGCACAAACAGTCACAAAAGACTGCTGAAACTGGAGTCTGCACTTTAAAAAGTGAAAACTTAAACAAATTACTTCGACTTGTTACAATTAAATGAATTAAGTTTGATCTCCCTGCGTTCGCGTGGGTTTCCTCCGGGTGCTCCGGTTTCCCCCACAGTCCGAAGACATGCAGTACAGGTGAACTGGGTAGGCTAAATTGTTCGTAGTGTATGAGTGTGTGTGTGAATGTTTCCCAGAGATGGGTTGGCGGTTCATTCCGCTGTGGCGACCCTGGATTAATAAAGGGACTTAAGTCGACAAGAAAATGAATGAATGAATGAATTAATTAATTAAATTTGACAAACTTAATTTATGACAGTTTTCAGTAATTAATTTAGTTCTTTTAGGTGTAACAAGTTTTAGTAATTTATTTAAGAAAACAAGAATGGAACAGTGCATACAGTACAGTACAAATCATTTAATTTATTATTGTTAATATAATGATAATAGTAAAAATACTTTTTTTGCAGTAAAAATATTTCCGTTCTATGTTAATATAATAATAAAAATAATACTGCTTTTATGTTTTGTTGCAAGCACAAGTATTACTCCTTAGTTATAGTGAACAATACTTGTACTTGCCAAAAATAAATTACAAAAACTTGTTCCACTTAAAATAACTAACTCAATTTACTACTGAAATCTGTTATAGATTAAGTTTGTCAAAGACATAAATAAATACACACCATGGATAACGATTTACCATGCGGGAACAATCATGCAGCATTTAAAAGATAAATACAGCAAGATGTCTAAATATCCACAGGATATTTTCACATCTCATCCCTGCACTATAGAAAATAATCCTGGTCAATTTGTACAATAAACTTAGCAGTATTAATACATCAGCTGATGTCCGTCAGCTGCTGCAACATCATAATTGTTTATCATTTTTTTGCCTCCGTTTTCATTAGGTTAATTGATGCCCTAATTATATATGACAAAGAGGAATTTACATTTGTTTTAATGTTTAGTAGGAGTTTTCAAATAAAAAGCCAATGGTAAATAATGTAAATAAATAATCTTAACATTCACAGCTGTATTTGTTATATAAGATTCTGTTTCTAGAACATTAATATTTCCTAACAGCAAATTCAGTAGATTAACTCAATAACATTTTGAAAACTCAAAATTTCAGAGACGTCCTGTAAATCAAATTCAAACAACGTTACAGGGGATCAATGTGGAGATAGGCTAGCATTAGTTTTGTCTTCCTACGTATTATTTCAGACCCATTCATTCATTCATTTATTCATTTATTTTATTTTTGGCTTAGTCCCTTTATTAATCTGGGGTCGCCACAGTGGAATGAACTGCCAACTTATCCAGCATATGTTCGATGCAACCTTCCAGCTGCAACCCATCTCTGGGAAACATCCATACACACCTATTCACCCTCATACACTACAGACAATTTAGCCAACCCAATACACCTGTACCACATGTCTTTGGGATGTGGGGGAAACCCACTCGAACGCGGGGAGAACATGCAAACTCCACACAGAAATGCCAACTGACCCAGCCGAGGCTCGAATCAGTGACCTTCTTGCTGTGAGGCACAAGCACTACCCACTACCCCACCGCGTCACCCTATTTCAGACCCATAAAGAGAATTACTGCTAGATAACAATCACCTGTATTTACCCCATCATGGCTAGGCGTTGTATCAGCAAACTAATAAAGCCAGATGAAGCCCTGACCTTACCGAATAAACAGTGCTCCACCAGATCCTGTAGGTCAGAAAGTATAGTTTACTGCTGAACTCATTTTATCATGGTAAAATAAAACAGAAATGGAATAATAACACTTCAATCTCCTCGCGAAGCTCCGACGGTCAGCTTTGAGAAACTTTCAATCACAACTGTCTATCATGATGACACGCCCCGTTCTTATAGCATTAAATTACTGGCTAAAAACATATTCGTTACAAAAACAAAGATC